AGGGCTGAGGTGACGGCCGCCGCAGCGGCGGCTCGCGTAGTCGGTGGGCCCCATCGATTTTGCCTCGGACAGCCAGTACGTGGTTCGGGCGTGCGCCCAGATCGAGGCCGGCGCTGACATGCGGGACTGGGGGCATGCCGACCTGTGGCACCTGCTGGTGGACGCCGTGCGCAGCGGCCGGCCCCGGGCCCGCTGGGTGCCCGCTCACAAGACGCCTGCGGAGGCGCGCCGCCTGGGGCTGAGCGAGAGGGACCTCCTCGGCAACGCGGCGGCGGACGGCAACGCTGGCGCCGCCGCGGCGAGCAGAGCTCCGCCGCCAGACGCGGTGCGCACCCGCCGCCGGGAGCTGGAGCTGCTGGAGGCCGCGCAGCGCGTGATGGCTGCCGCGCAGCAGGCCGCCTTAGCGGCGGCGCCGCCGGCCGCGCGCCGCCGTCGGCGCGACTGGCGCGGGGTGCGCCGCGGGGCCCGGGCCCGCCCGGCTTCTGCGCCGCCGGACGCCGCGCCCGCCGGACGCGCGCTTCCGCCAGCGCCGCCGCCGCGGCGCAGCGGCGCCGACGACCCTGTCCGCCCAGGCGCCATGCTGGCTGCCTTCTTCGCAGGGCGGTCGTGGTGGCCGCGCGCCCTCGCGCAGGGGCCTGGCCAGGTCGTCTGCCTCCGGTGTGGCGCCAGCGCCGCGGCGCCTGCGGAAGTGCTGGGTTGTGCATGCCCGGGGTGGAAGGAGCGGCTGCCGGCGCGCGGGCAGGCGTTGCTCCTTCTCGGTGGATTACGCTTCGCTGGGGGCAGCGCGGCGGACTTTGCATGCCTCGCTGCGCAGCGACGCGCGCAGCTCCCCAAAGCGCCGGACTGATCGGCGCCTTCCCGGGCGCCCGCGGCTGCGCGGGGCGCCTGCTGTCCGCTCGTCAAAAAAGTGGGGTACACTCGCATATAGCAGTGCCGTTCGCACCGCAAGCATTGCCTGCTGCATTTTCTTCCAGCTCAGCAAAAAAGGTATCACTTAAGACGATCCAAAACGTCGCCAGCGTTGCCGAAGGGGGCCTCAGGGGAGCGCGAGAGGGCCTCAGGATGCCTCCAAGATGGTCCCAGAGGGTCCCACGAGGATGCCCAGACGACCAACACTAGTCAAACCGTGCGGCAGTCTTATCTGTAATCGTTGTGTCATTTCTAGTTTGTGCAGGATGAAGCCAAGAGGGCCGCGCGGGACTCAGAGGCGCCCAAAAGGACCCCAAGATGCTCCGAAAAGAGCCCCACAGCGGACCAGGACAGCCTAAAGACGCTTCCAAAAAGGGCTGAAGGAAGCTTTCGCAGGGGCCCAAGACGGGCCGAGAAGGCCCCAAGACGCCCCAAGAGGGTCTCAAGGCTGCCTCAATGGGGGTTCCAAGAGGACATTTCCGCGACTCCCACTGAGCTCGTCGTGAGGCCATTGAAGTCACCAAACACGTGCAAACGTAGCATTCTTAGCCGCATGGAGCGAGCAGTTCTTATGCCCCAGCGCCTGACCATGCCTCGAGAGACAAGAACTGTCACAACTGCTGACACCAACGAGACCAGTTGAGGGGTGTCCCCTGATGGGCGGAGGGACGCTATGCGGCGCCTTGCCAGTGAGGCATTCGGTGGAGCGACGACTTGTGGCCACCAGGAAGAAAACGCGCGCGAAAAACTCTACGAGGCTTCCGGCGGTGACCAAGTTGACGGCTCACCGCCTGCATCCAGTTGCTTTGAAGTTATAGTGTCGGTGCCAATCGGGCCGCGATGATTTTGCGATCGATGCAGATGGGATGGCCGTGCACCCAAAGGAGCGGTGGATATTGCCATGGAGACGCTCTGGATGGCGCGAGCATTGGGAGACCGAAAAAGTAAATTGTCAAGTTCGGTGTTCCATGGTCTGTTAGTAAGGTTCCCCGTTCTGGGGCCCCTGTCATCACGAAACTCGTGAGGGGTCATCAGGATGCTCTTGCGCGGCTCTTCGGTGGTCTTCCAGGAGGCCTTTGCAGCATGGATGTAGCTTCGGGGGCCGACTAGCCAAATGAGCAGCCAGTCGGGGGGTTGGCAATTTGACAGTGAGGCTCCAGTGGTAACTGTGCAGGCCCAGCCAAGGCGGAGGGGAGGAGGTCTTTAGCGCATGTGGCTGTGGGGCCCCATTGTCAATAATTTGTTTGGGGGCCATGCCTGGGTGACCAGGGAAGTCCGATTATCGATTTGACAGCGGGAGCCCACCGTCACTTGGACCATCGGGGAGGCAGGCCGAGGCGCGGGAGTTGAGCTTCAATTGTCTTTTTGACCATGGGGGACCACACTCAAACGAGCAATCGAGGGGGCTAGGCCGAGGCGTGCGAATTGAGCTCCGTTCGCCCAATTCGCAGAAGGAATCCCGTTGTCAAATGGGTCATCAGGGTACCCGATTGCTCACTGCAATGGGATCCCCATGGTCAAACAGGGAATCCGAAGGGAACTGTGGCCGATTGCCCAGCAAAGTTCTCCCCCCCACACCCCCCCCGTCCAGGGGGTGGTATGGAGGGGGAGACTCTTTCACGCCTTGATGACCCAAAAGGGGTCGACGGACTCCGTGCCTGCCTTAAGCCTGTTGCTATCTCTCCGAACGCTTGGCACCACGCGCTAATGGTGGCCTACGCTCGGGGCACTTCTCCGTTGGCAAACTCGAGCGTGTGGATTCGCGCAAAGTCTGCTGACAATGACTGCGCAGTCGGTGCTGGAACCTGAGCGCGCGAATCGCGCGCGTGGTTCTGGCACCGACTCGCGAGTGCGTACTCTAGATTTCGTAATACAAGGGAGGGGGTCTGGACCCTCAAAGACAAGCCATGTCAGACCTCCCCCGTGGGAGAACCCTCCAAAACATCGTCCCCAGACCCCCCAGGCCCTCCAAGATAGCCTGGAAGAGACCCCCCCCCGAAATGAAACCCCCCTCCCTTTTATTACGAAATCTGGAGTACCATGAGAACGATCTGGCAACCCTGGACGGCGCCATTGGGGGCAACGGGCACCTGCCTCCCTCGAGGCAGCGCCTAGACAGCCCCTAAGCCAGCCCAAGGAAACCATGAGACAGAACAGAAGAAGCCGCGCCTAGACGGCGCATCGGCACACATTGGCATGGAAAACGAGGGCCAGAAAATGTGCAGACAACTATGCAGAATGCACGTGCGCCGGGTCACAGCCACTGAAAATAGACCAATGCTGGGCGGCGGGTACCACTACACATGCACAACGCACACTGAGACATCCCATGTTGGCCCAAGACGGTCGCAACCCTTTCCTGGCGGCGAGTCGCCCGCAAGCCCCGACCTTCGTGTCATCACAGCGCCATGGGTTGGGCTAGGACCTGAGCGCGCGAAGCGCGCGTGGTTCTAGTGTATATTACACACACATACTTCAACGCTAGACGTTGCCACGTTGCAGCCATCTCTGGGTCACACGACTTCACTGGAGCCGTGAGCTTGGAACCCTGCGTGGAGCGCCTCGGGAGCGTGGTGGGCCATCTGGAGGCGATCACGGGCATTTGGGGGTGATTTTCTGGCGACTCGGGGGCGAGTCGGAGCTCTCTGGGCGGGTAGGGCCTGGAGGCTCCCGCGATGCCTCCGGAACTTCCCCAGACGCTCCCCGAGAAGACGTCGGAGGCCAAAATTGGGCAATTCCCGAGGGAAGACGCATTTTCAGCAACCACGCGCTTGAGGTTTCCACTGCGTCTACGACTGCGGCCGAGGCGCTCCAGGGACGCCAAAGACGGCCCACGAAACCCCCCAAGACGGCCCAAGATGAGCCCCAGAGGGCTCCCCAGACGGCCTGGGCGGCTCTCCAGAAGAGGCCCGTAGCGTGCCTAGCGGGGTCCTGAGGAGTCCAGAACGCCCAAGGGACGTTCAACACCCCCACAGAGCGCTCCCTGGTTGTGCAATCTTTGCTGTTCAAAATTTGATGGCCTTCGCCCATCCCGCGACCGTGCTGGGTTGTGGGTCAGGGCCCTCTCCGGAGCAATTTGTTTGCCACGAGCTCCTCGGCATCGATGGAATTTACATATCCCAAGATGACCGCAAGAACACTCCAACAACGGCCACAAGAAACAACATTCATCGCTTGTTCATCGGTTTTGGACGAAGTGTCATTATTCTGGCTCTCACGTTTCTCTACGTTGTACGACGGCCCCAGAGGCCCCCAAGATCGCCTTGAGACCGCGCCCCCCCAACGATGCGACCCAGAACCGCGGCGGCACCCCGCCGCGAGTGCAGTGCCATGTCTCAGAACACATCTTCCTTGGAAGTGCCCAGATGCCAGAATGGCACGGCACACGAGGGGCCCCAGAGATGTCCGAGACGGCCCCAAAACGGCCCAAGAGAACCCCCCAGAGGCCCCCAAGACGATTCAAGAACGCCCCGAATCGTTCACAGCCTCGAAGGCTTTCCCGCTGCCCAACATGCCTCCAAGGCTAGCCAGGATGCCTCCATAAGCACTCACAGGAACCGCAAGAAACAGAATTTGCTATTTGTGTTGGGGTCCTTGTTAGCACCACTCTGATGTGGGTTTCTCCACGCTCTCAGACGGCCCAAGAGGCCCCCAAGATCGCCCCAATACCGCCTCAGACTCCCCCACGACTCTCCCTCTCCCCGTCTTCGGGCGCGCGCGTGACATTCGTCAAACGTTTCGCGCCTCTGAATCCGCGCGCGGTTATGCTTGTTATGCTAAATATCAGATCTTGTATTTGATTATTGCTGTTGTTTTTTACCGCTTACGTTCTTGCTATTGCTGTTGCTATTGTTATTTTGCATGTTTCGTTCAGTTTGATTTTAAGTACCTTTGACCTGTTGATTCGCATTCTTTTCTATGCTTATTATCATAAGGATTACCAATCTTAGCAACATTATTCGCATGTGTGGTCCTATTATTATTATTGTTATTATTATTATTATGATTATTATTATTATTATTATTAATATTATTATTATTATTCTTATTCTTATTATTATTATTGTTATTGTTGTCATCATTGCAACCCCCTTCAGGCGCGCCCCCCTGCAAGACCGCACTCGTCAGGGGGTCGCCGCGCGCGGCGACGGTGCGCCGCCCCCGATGGAGCTTGCGCGCTTGCCGCCGCTCGGCGGGCTGGCGCCGCGCGCGACGCCGGCCAAGGAGGCGGCCGCGGCGACGGCGTCGGCGGCAGCGACGGCGCCGCCGCCGCCGTCGACGGCAGTCGCGGCGGCCGCGGCGGCGGCGGCGGCGATTGGCAACGGCGACGACGACGACGGCGATCTCCGCTGTGCCCACCAACAGCTTCGAAAGTAACGACAGCGTCGCACATCGCAGCCCGCCAGGGACGGCGAGGTCCCTGTCAGGTCTGCGAGGTGCTTCGCTCCGCTGGACCCACCAGCAGCCCTCCAAAGTGGCGACGATGTTGCAGATCGCAGCCCCCCAGGGACGGCGAGGTCCCGTTCAGGTCTGCGCGGTGCTTCGCTCCGCTGGGCCCACCAGCAGCCGTCGAAAGTGGGTGGCGACAGAGTCGCAGATCGCGACTCCCCAGGGACGGCGAGGTCCCGTTCAGGTCTGCGCGTTGCCTCACTCCGCGGGACCCACCAGCAGCCCTCGAAAGCGTCGACGGCGCCGCAGATCGCAACCCCCCATGGTCGCAGATCGCAGCCCCCCAGGGACGGCGAGGTCCCGCTCAGGTATGCGCGGTGCCTCACTCCGCCGAGCCCGCCAGCAGCCCTCGAAAGTGGCGACAACGTCGCAGATCGCAGCCCCCCAGGGTCGGCGAGGTCCCGCACAGGCTTGCGCGGTGCCTCACTCCGCGGGACCCACCAGCAGCCCTCGGAAGTGGCGACAGCGTTGCAAATCGCAGCCACCAAGAAAAACGAGGTCCCGCTCAGTTCTACGGGCTGCTTCATTCCGCTGGACTCACCAGCAGCCCTCAAAAGTGGCGACCATGTTGCAGATCGCAGCCGCCAGGGACGGCGAGGTCCCGCTCAGGTCTGCGAGGTGCTTCACTCCGCTGTGTCCACCAACAGCCTTCGAAAGTGGCGACAGTGTCGCAGATCGCAGCCCCCAAGGGACGGCGAGGTCCCGCTCAGGTCTGCGCGGTGCCTCACTCCGCCCACCAGCAGCCCTCGGAAGTGGCGACAGCGTCGAAGATCGCAGCCCCCCAGGGACGGCGAGGTCCTAGACAGGTGCCGCAGGCAAAGAGAAAGAGAGAGAGAGAGAGAGAAAGAGAGAACAACAATATACATATATATAGTGCAAGAGAGAGGGAGAGAGAGGTAACGAGAGAAAGAGAGCAAGAGAGAAAGAGAGAAACACAGAAAGATAGGGAGAGAGTGAGAGAGATAATGAGAGAGAGAGAGATAGAGAGAGCGAGAGAGAGAGAGAGAAAGAGAGAGATATAAAACAAACAACAACGGCGAGAGGCAAGAGGCGGGAGGCGGGAGGAGGAGGAGAAGGAGATGCGACCGCAGTGCCCTATTCAATACGAATGCCCAGCCAAGGAGAGTTGTGACATATTCAAGAATGCAGAGACATGAACTATTTTTGAGTCTTCCTCCTGTAGTAGGACAGGCTCGACCTAAATCTAGGTTGGCCTCGCGCGCGCCCGCAGAGGGCACGGGGCCAGGGGCAGAAAACCGGGGGAAGCCAGCCGCCGACCGACGACGGCGACTTTCAGCATCGTCGGACCGGGATGAAGGGATGAAGCAATGAAGCCTGGGTTGGGATTACACCCGGACAAAACGAACATCTTGCACAATCAGAGCCATCGACGCCAAAGGACAAGGCCAGAATACATTTCAGACGCATCATTACCAGTGGAAATACTGACGCACATGGCGTCACAGAAGCGCTAGGGCAGAGAAGTTACGTTCCAAGACCCGAACATATTCACGGTCGAGAGTCGCATCGCCGCCGGTTGGAGAAATTTCCACATTCTGAAAGAGGAAGTCACCGGGTGGAGTTAACCTCTTCGTGACCGTATTCGTTCGTTACATAGTACTATTACTGCATCGGTCCTGTATGGATGTGCTTCGTGGACTCTTACTTGCAAGCTCGAGAGCATAATCAAGCGCACACAAAGGCAAATGCTGCGAATGAGCATCCGCCCACCACGCTGGCAAATTGCTGAGTCTGTCTGCGAGCGTTGGGAAGCTTGGATTCAACGAGCAACTCGAGAAGCAGAGCGCCTTCTACAACAAATCGGTATACAGGACTGGGTGACCATACAAGACAAAGGACATCGACGTGGGCCGCCAAGGTTGCTTGGGAGCCTTGGAAATGGAGCTACCAGGCATTGGTTTGGGAACCTCCGCTGTGCTTGGACCAAAATGCACATCGTCGACAGTCGCGGCCAAAGACCGGGTGGACAGGTGGTATTGCGAAGTGCACGAACAATCCAGACTGGTTCCAAGTTGCTACAACAGCTGCGTGGCAGGCCCGTGAGGCCGGATTTCTTTCATTCGGCAGAGTGTGAGGAGGCTACCGCCCTAGTTTTCCTTGCTTGCGTTTCATCGGTCGCCTCCCCCTTGTCGTTTCGTCCCCCCCCTTGCTCTCTCCACCTCGCCTCGCGTCCTCGCCCGTCGCGCGCCCCTCCCTCCCCTCGTGCGTCTTTCCTCTCCCAACATGTAGATGATGCACATGTTTGTTCACTTTGTATCGCAGACTTGCGGGCGAATTGCAATTTATCCACAGCAAGGCGCGTATAGTTCGCTTTCCGGGGCGCTCTGGCCCCCAACCCGCTTAGTCCCCTCGCGTGGACTCCTGCGCGCGAGTTCTGTCTCTCTGTCCCTATCCCTATCCCCATCCACGTCTCGAGCCCCACCTCCCCCCCCCTTCCTCCTCCTCGTCCTCCTCGTCCTCCTCCTCATTCGCCTCCGCTCCCTCCTCCTCTTGGCGGCCGCGGAGCGAAGACTGCAGCAGCGTCGGGCTGGCCGCGCCATCCCGACAGCGCGCCTGGGGCTGAAGAAGAGCTGGGCTCGGGCACGAGAAGGGCGTGTGAGTGGCGCGCACGGCTCGAAAAACGACGCGTGCGCAGCGCATACTAAAAGACATCCTAGATTCAGAATCGTTTAACCGGTTCTTACCCCCATCCCCATCCACATCTCGAACCCCACCACCACCTCAGTTGGGGATGTGCCCTTAGAAACCCGAAGAGAGCAGCCTATATCCCCATCCAGGGGGGTACATCGGCCAGTGGGACCCAGCCCACGCTGGCGGGGATGGGGAGCGGATCAACAGTTCTCAGAAAGGCACACAGAGGAGGAACGACCGCAGCGACGCGAACGAACACGACGCAGCGACGATGACGGCGACAGCTGGCACCGCCGAGCTTCGCGCCGCGCGGCGGCGGCCCAGCAGAGTCTGCCAGACACCAGCCCTGCCGAAGACCGGGGACGCAGCCATGACTGAACAGAGGTGAGCCAATCCGCTCATTGGATCTGCGCTGGCCTCCCCTCCCTGGGGACCGCGCCATGGGAGGGGCGCCAGAGGCGCCGCCAGCGGGGGAGGGGCCCAGCGCCGACGCCACGCGTCCGCGCGGACCTCCAAAGCCCATGTTCCTCCGCCTCCTCCTCCGCCTCCTTCCTCCTCCTCCTCTCTCCTCCTCCTCCTCCTCCTCCTCCTCCTCCTCCTCCTCCTCCTCCTCCTCCTCCTCCTCCTCCTCCTCCTCTCTCCTCCTCCCCCCTCCTCCTCCTCCTCCTCCTCCCCTCCTCCTTCTCGTCCTCCTCCTCCTCCTCCTCCCCCTCCTCCATTTCCTCCTCCTCCTCCTCGTCCTGCTCTTCCTCCGCCTCCTCCGCCTTTTTCTCCGCCTCCTCCGCCTCCGTCTCCTCCTCCTCCTCCTCCTCCTTCCTCCTCCTAGTCCTCCTCCTCCTCCTCCTCCTCCTCCTTCCCCTCCTCCTCCTCCCCCATCCCCATCCACATCTCGAGTCCCACCCCACCTCCTCCTCGTCCTCCTCTGGTATCCTCTGGTATCCTACCAAGCGAGTCCAGCTCTGCCAAGACTCGCTCACCTGCTCAGTGGCAGGACCCGCCTCCGAAGTCAAGGCCAAGACACCTCAGAACCTCGGGGCACCAGGAAAACGGGCGCGGCACCGCCACCAAGGGCTGGCGGTGCCCTCAAAACACAAGACTCGGCTCCCTCGACCGCTTTCGGACCAGGGGCCGAACCACGGGCGAGCGGAAACGGGTGCCCCCAGAAAACATTGCCCTGGGGTTCCCGACCAGCACGGAGACGGTCCAGGGCGATCTTCCCCAGACGGACCGAGTCCCTGGGACGATGGGACCAGGGACGACAGGGCACGGCCAACAGATGGGTCTGCCGACGGGCGTATGCCCCGCAGAGCTTACAGAAGACGATCGCCTCGTCCCCCCCAAGGCCCCGACCGTCCCCCCCACCAGTCCCGCGCCCACGCCGAACCACCCACAGCCTATGGGAAGGATGGGCGATCGCCGCAGGCCTAGGCACTCCAGGGCACGGGTGGCTGACTATACGAGATCGGAGCCCCTTCCTTTCCCCACAGATGCCACATCCCCAGGTCCTCCCAAGACAGCCCAAGACGTGCCCGTTAGGGTTCGCCACGAGGGAGAGGACCTGCTGGGGGCATGGACGGGGAAGAGGACTCCGATCGGGCCAGCCCGCGCCTGCGACACTTTTCAGCACAGCACCGTGATGGCGGAGGAGCTGCTTGCTCGCCTCCGCCGCCGAGCTCACACGGGTGGCGAGCTCCTCCACCTCCTCGAAGTCCCAGTGCAGCCTGGCGCCCTCTTTGGCGCGCTTGTCGGCCTCCTGGTTGCCGATGTGCCAGTGGGCTGGCACGCTCGCCGCCTCCGCCGCAGCCCAGCTGGTGTGGGCACGGGTCCAGCGGATGACCAGCGATCCAGGCATGTCACGGGCTCGCGTCCACACCTCGCTCCAGAGCTCCGCGTACCTGGACTCTGGGCTGGTGCACCACAGCTCGCCCTTCTCGTAGCCGTCCACCACGTTCCAGCAGTCCGTGATGATCTCCAGGTCGCCGTCGGCCTCTCGCAAGACCATCAGCAGCGCGTACAGCTCGGCAAACCCGATCTCCTGCACCAGGCCTGGCACCGTCCCCAGCACGCCGCCAACCACACGGCCGTCGGTGGTGACCATGATACCAGCCCAGCCAGTGCGAGTGATC